CTGTATGTATATCTCTAGGATAAATGTTAAAAGAATTGTGTGATTGTGGTTGTTATAGTCATACTGCTCACTAGTGTGCTCCCACCAGAAAAAAATAAATGTGTGAGTAAGTGTCTTCTGACATACTCTCAACAACATAGTATATTACCAGAATTTTATCTTTGCCAGTCTCATAAAGAAATTAATATTTCAGCATAGTTTTAATTGCATTTCTCTTATGAAGGAGATTGTGTATCTTTTCACATGTTTAAGAAGTATTTGAATTTCCTTTCCTGTGAAGATTTATTTTGTGAATATTTTTTGTAAAGATTCTCATTTTTAGTTTTTTGACATCTGTTTGGTTCTCCTAATTCTACAGGTATCTCTAAGAGTGGCTCAGCTCCCTGAATACCTAGAGATACAGTTTATCTAATCTAAGAATTTGAGCTTTTTTTGGTTCACTAGATGATAAGTTCTTTACTCATTAAATAATTCTAATTTAGTTATACTTATTTCATGCATTTTTTCAACAAAACATATCTCATCTTTTTTGATATGTATGTAGTAGCAAAGTAAAAATTGAGTTCTCCATTCTCTTTTGTCTCATTTCTACTTTCTGCTCAAATTTTTACCTATTTTTAAATTATTTGTGGATTGCTGTTTGCCTTAGTTCAAAAATCTCTAGAATAAAAGATGTCTGTTGGCCACAGTCAGTCTTATCTCCTATTTATTTAATCGCTTTTTAAAGAAGTACTTAATTAGCAACTACTGTATATTTAGCCATGTTCTAAAAAGAAACAATATATAGTATTTTTGTTTTTAAGGGAGAACGATAAGGTTACTACACATAATAATTATAGCATTATCATTATTACATAATAGCATTTGTCATTTTATGTACAGTGCATAACTTTTGTTAAAAATTTTGTTTACCAGTATGGATGATCTGTGCTTTCGCAAAATACCCAGAAGTTTTGAAAGAACTTTTTCTTCCCTGCAGTTCTTTTTCTAAGGTGCAGTGGTGAATAGGATTCTTAGAACTAGACACACAAGAGGGCTAGACTATATTTGTGTCAACTCCAAGTATTCTACAAAGTCAGTTATGGCATGTTCTCCCAAGTGCTTGTGGCAGGAGAAATATATTTTTATTGAGTTGTGTTAGATTTCTAATAATTCTTTTTCTTAAAGGAAACGACACATTTATTCAAATAGCGTATATGATTCATTTCTGTCTCTGGTAAGTTTTCAGTATCTCCTTTGTCGTTTTGTTTGTTTGTGTGTGCTGCATCACTTCAGTAGTGTCTGACCCTTTGTGATCCTATGGATTATAGTCCTCTAGGCCCATCTGTCCATGAGCTTCTCCAGGCAGGAATGCTGGAGTAGATGCCATGTCCTCCTCCCAGAGATCTTCCCGACTCAGGGATAAAACCCACATCTCTTAAGTCTCCTGCATTGGCAGGTGGGTTTCTTACCACTAGCGCCACGTGGGAAGCCTGCTTGATTAGTTAAATTCAAGTTGGTACTTGCCTCTTCAGTCAGTCAGTCAGTCAGTTGAGTTGCGTCCGACTCTTTGTGACCCCATGGACTGTAGCACACCAGGCTTCCCTGACTTGCCTCTAGAAAGCTACTAAATAAATTTTGACTTGAGGTCTCAACTTCTTTCACATTATACTAGAACTTAAAAAGTTACATATTAACAAATATTGACGTATAGTTGCTTTCTTGGAAATACTAAAGTTTATCTTAATTGAACCCAACTGTATTTCAGAAATTGATTTTTCTATATTAATTATAGCTGCAGTTTCACTTAAAAACATTTTCTTTCTCTGAGGATTTATGTGTTGTGTAGTGACATTTTTTTCCTACCATAGAAGCAATCTGTAGGGTTGATGTGCAGACACCTTCAGGTATGTTTGTTTTTGTAGCACACTTCTGCCTTCTACTTGAATTCCTCTTTCTCTTTTGTGGGTAGTCTTTCCGCATTCCCTCCTGTCCTCTGACAGCTTAGGAGCAATAAGATCAGTGAAGATAGAAAGGAAGGGAAAGGTATTAGAGTTTCCAAGCCTATAATCTTTCCTGTTCCTCTGCTTTTCCCGAAGACTTCAATTTAATCAAAAAGTAACATAGGATATTATAGAAAATATATTGGCTTTAGTACCTGAAAATTTTAAGCCAGTCATCATCTGTTCCCTGGAGCAACAGGTAATTCTTATAGCTCTTTGAGCAAGAGGATGGAGATTAACAGTGTGGGTGATCGTCTTAAACCATAGGAGTATAATTTAGCACATCTACATGAAAGAGCCATGCTAAGAAGCAGCAACTCAACTAGCAGTCAGTAAGAGCATATATCACACTTAAATGATTGATAATAATGTATAATATTTTAGATTAACTGTAAGATGATGATAGGGTAGCCTACTGTATAATCAAAAAGTTGAATAAGATTTAATAGGTAAGAGCTCAAGTTTGATGATGTTGGACTACCTCACTTAGTTGCCTACCAGTAGTGTGAACTCAGGCAGTCACTTTACCTCATTTTGCATTATCAGGGTCTGTGTCTATAAGGTGAGGATGATAACAACATACCTACCTTAGCTGACTGCACACATGCACACTCTGATACTGAACTTAGAATATATTTACTGGCACAAAACAAAAACCTTCAATAAATGTTCAGGTTCTTCCTTTTTTTAAGCTTTCATATACTATCATTAGAGTATTAAGACTATTTGCAAGGTTAATCGTGCTAAATTGGATTTTTTTTTTAAGCAACAAATATCTTAAAACAATTAGCAAGGGTTTCCCTGCTGGTCCAGTGGTTCAGGATTTACCTTACAGTGTGAGAGACACTAGTTTGATCCCTAGTCAGGGAGGATCCCACATGCCACAGGGCACCTGAGCCCATGTGCCACAACTGATGATCCTGCACTCTGAAGCCCATAAGCCGCAATACTGAAGCCTGTGCTCCACGACAGGAGAGGCCACCACAGTGAGAAACCCTTGCAACTAGAGAGTAGCCCCACTCTCTGCAACTGAAGAAAGCATGTGCACAGCACCGATAAGACCCAGCCCAGCCAAAAAATAAATGAATAAATAAGTTAAAAACAGTATTTCCAGCTTGTTTTATAAGAGTTAAGTAGTTGTGTATATTATTTTATTTTTTTTCTCAGTGGTTATAATCATTCCATGATATATATTAAATGGTCTCATCATCTTCTCTTTATCAGGCTTCTGTTAGCTTTAAGAAAATTATAGATTTACCTGTTCTCACTCTTAGTGGCATCCCCTAGTCGTCTTAACACTTTTCATATCTAAATCTAATAGAAACTCATTGCTCTATTTAAATTACACATGGTCTTTTTGACAATTTTGTTTCATAAAAATTATAATTTCTTCTTATCAGTTTATTTCATATGACTTAAAATTTCTTCGTTGGAGGTATTCCTTTAAAGTGTTGCTAATAGCCCCTCTCTTCCACTTACATTCATGTCATTGTTGTGAATTATCTGGAAAATATATTTGAAAAAAATGCATTTTTAAAATTAGAAGGTGTATGATTTAGAAGATGAGATACAAAAACCAAGAACGTGAGATAGCTCATTAACAACTTTACATTGATATGTGTGAAATGATTTTTTTAAATAAAATATTTAAAAGTAAAAGAAATAGAAGGTGTATTAGAATTCTGAAGGATCCACTCTGTATGGTAGAAATAATATGTACAGTATTATAGGTATCAGATAATGTTTAAACAATACTGTAACCACTTGCAATTTGAAATTCTTTCCTTCACTCACAGAACTAGAACTTAATATTTAAGTGTAAAACTTGTCATCTTACAAGGTTTCATTTATAAATTAAATCTTTATAATTATGCTTTTCCTGTAAGGTGTTAGTTGCTCAGTCATGTCCAATTCTTTGTGACCCCATGGACTATTGCCCACCAGGCTCCTCTCTCCACAGAATTCTCCAGGCAAGCGTACTGGAGTACTCACTTCACTTTCTCCTGGAGTAGCCCTTCCCTTCTCAAGGAGATCTTCCTGACCCAGGGATTGAACCTGAGTCTCCTGCGTTGTCGGCTAAAACTCTGTGCTTCCAGTGCAGTGAGTGCAGGTTCAATACCAGGTCAAGGATACAAGATCCCACATGCCCCAAGATGAAGCCAAATAAATTATGCTTTACTTGTCTTCAAAATCAGACAGCAACTGTTTATCAGAAAAACAACACTTAAAAGATACAGACTGTTTATAGTGTTCATTCTGAGTTTCAATTTAAAACTCTGCTTTACTGCCACTGTTAAAGAATATTTAGAACTATTTATTTCCCATGACAGTGTAATTGATGGTTCGTTTTCTGTGGAAAAGTTCAAGAGTTGCCTTTCCTGAATTGTCCTTTTTGCTGAATTTTCAAAATGGAAAATTGTAACTTTAGAATTATGGGGTTCTCAAAATGATTTTCATTGTTTTTTAAATGATAATCCATATCATGATTATGCCCTTATTTTTATTGTGCTTAATCATCAAATAAGTATGGTTTTTAGTCATTTAGCCACTAAATCATGTCCAACTCTTGCAATGGACTGTAGCATGCCAGGCTCCTCTATCCATGGGATTCTCCAGGCAAGAGTATTGGAGTGGGTTGCCATTTCCTTCTCCAAAATAAAGCATAAACAGTATCATTTGAGCCTAAACTAGAATGTCATTAGGAAATTCTGTTGGGTAGGAAATATACTACATTTAAAAAACTTTTTAAATTATCTTTGGTATTCAGTTTTTCCGTAGTTTAGTTATAAAAATGAGTTTTCCATTATCTTTAGGGTAGGAATAGAGGCCAAGGTTTATCATACTGCATGATAACATTTACTGTGAAATCTGTATATTACCTCTGATTGAAAGATTTGATTTCAGTAGATCAAACCATCAAGTAATATCTTTTAAAACTTTCAAAAGTTTTCAAGAAGAAAACCACAGTCTGAGCAAAGCAGTGTGTGTTATTACTTTAATATACTGGTATTTTTTTAGGCTCATGAGAGGCTAGAAGATTCAAAACTAGAAGCTGTCAGTGATAATAACTTGGAATTAGTCAATGAAATTCTCGAAGATATCAGCCCTCTAGTAAATGTGGATGAAGATGTGGCAGAACTGGTTGGTATACTCAAAGAGCCTCACTTCCAGGTAACTTTCTCTATTCTCTTCTTTCCAAGTCCCCTGTATTCCCAAAATATTCTTGTAGTAGTTTCTGTTTGAGATGAAGTTTTTAAAAGATGTAGGGTCATATTTTGCAAATGCCAACTTAGATGTTTTAATATCCTCATATGCTTATGCTACATAAACAGATACACATACTATACAGATGTACAATGTCTGTCAAAGAAATGCATTAGAGTGGATTTTTCTTTGTGTAATTAAAAACAATAACAACAAACCTACTTCACCATCACACCACATGCTTGGGACATTTTTCTCGCAGTGATAGTGGATTTTTCTTCCTTAATACCGCCGTTTCCCAGCCCTTCTTGTGACTAGTGATATGCCTTTTCAGTATTGCTTCTAAGACTGGGGTGCGGCTGATGACCTTAGAATAAGAGAGAGCTGTAGGGGATAGAAACTATGACATACTTTCCACAGGGACAAAAAATAAATTCAATTTAAGTATTTGTCTGTGTAGGTGAAGAGTTAATCAGTTTATCAAAGACGAATCAGTTTCAGAAGAGAGAAAGAAAAGTGGAAATTTCTTAGAAATCTGTAATTCAGACAGTTTGGTATTGGGGCAGTATTAGAAAAATAGATTACCTGAAGAAAAGAGAAACCCCAGAAATACATCCTCAGACAAATGGCCGCTTGATTTATGAGACAGTAGAGAACGCACTGGTCATAGCAAACACCCTCTTCCATCCAGCAGCACAAGAGCAGACTGCACGTAGACATCACCAGATGGTCAACCCCGAAATCAGATTGGTTATATTCTTTGCAGCCACAGATGGAGAAGCTCTATACAGTCAGCAAAAACAAGACCAGGAGCTGACTGTGGCTCAGATCATGAACTCCTTATTGCCAAATTCAGACTTAAACTGAAGAAAGTAGGGAAAACCACTAGACCCTTCAGGTATGACCTAAATCAAATCCCTTATGAATATACAGTGGAAGTGAGAAATAGATTTAAGGGACTAGATCTGATAGACAGAGAGCCTGATGAACTATGGACAGAGGTTCGTGACATTGTACAGGAGACAGGGATCAAGACCATCCCCATGGAAAAGAAATGCAAAAGGCAAAATGGTTGTCTGAGGAGGCCTTATAAATAGCTGTGAAAAGAAGAGAAGCGAAAAGCAAAGGAAAAAAGAAAAGATATATCCATCTGAATGCAGAGTTCCAAAGAATATCAAGGAGAGATAAGAAAGCCTTCCTCAGCAATCAGTGCAAAAAAAATAGAGGAAAACAACAGAATGGGAAAGACTAGAGATCTCTTCAAGAAAATTAGAGATACCAAGGGAATATTTCATGCAAAAATGGGCTCAATAAAGAACAGAAATGGTATGGACCTAACAGAAGCAGAAGATATTAAGAAGAGGTGGCAAGAATACACAGAAGAGCTATACAAAAAAGATCTTCATGACCCAGATAATCACAATGGTGTGATCACTCACCTAGAGCCAGACATCCTGGAATGTGAAGTCAAGTGGGCCTTAGAAAGCATCACTATGAACAAAGCTAGTGGATATGATGGAATTCCAGTTGAGCTATTTCAAATCCTAAAAGATGATGCTGTGAAAGCGCTGCACTCAATATGCCAGCAAATTTGGAAAACTCAGCAGTGGCCACAGGACTGGAAAAGGTCTGTTTTCATTCCAATCTCTAAGAAAGGCAATCCCAAAGAATGTCCAAACTACCACACAATTGCACTCATCTCACACGCTAGTAAGGTAATGCTCAAAATTCTCCAAGCCAGGCTTCAGCAGTATGTGAACCAAGAACTTCCAGATATTCAAGCTGATTTTAGAAAAGGCAGAGGAACCAGAGATCAAATTGCCAATATCCGCTGGATCATTGAAAAAGCAAGAGTGTTCCAGAAAAACATCTATTTCTGCTTTATTGACTATGCCAAAGGCTTCAACTGTGTGGATCACAATAAACTTTGGAAAATTCTGAAAGAGATGGAAATACCAGACCATCTGACCTGCCTCTTGAGAAACCTGTATGCAGGTCAGGAAGACACAGTTAGAACTGGACATAGAACAACAGACTAGTTCCAAATAGGAAAAGGAGTACGTATATTGTCACCCTGCTTATTTAACTTACATGCAGAATACATCATGAGAAACACTGGGCTGGAATAAGCACAAGCTGGAATCAAGATTGCCGGGAGAAATATCAATAACCTGATATGCAGATGACACCACCCTTATGGCAGAAAGTGAAAAGGAGCTAAAAAGCCTCTTGATGAAAGTGAAAGAGGAGAGTGAAAAAGTTGGCTTAAAGCTTAACATTCTGAAAACTAAGATCATGGCATCTGGTCCCATCACCTCTTGGGAAATAGATGGGGAGACAGTGGAAACAGTGTCAGAGTTTATTTTGGGGGGCTCCAAAATCACTGCAGATGGTGACAGCAGCCATGAAATTATAAGACGCTTACTCCTTGGAAGGAAAGTTATGACCAACCTAGATAGCATGTTAAAAAGCAGAGACATTACTTTGCCAACAAAGGTCCATCTGGTCAAGGCTATGGTTTTTTCAGTGGTCATGTATGGATGTGAGAGTTGGACTGTGAAGAAAACTGAGCGCTGAAAGATTGATGCTTTTGCACCACGGTGTTAGAGAAGACTCTTGAGAGTCCCTTGGACAGCAAGGAGATCCAACCAGTCCATCCTAAAGGAGATAAGTCCTAGGTGTTCATTGGAAGGACTGATGCTGAAGCTGAAACTCCAATACTTTGGCCACCTCATGCGAAGAGTTGACTCATTGGAAAAGACCCTGCTGCTGGAAGGGATTGGGGGCAGGAGGAGAAGGGGACGACAGAGAATGAGATGGCTGGATGGCATCACCGACTGGATGGGCATGAGTTTGAGTAAACTCCGGGAGTTGGTGATGGACAGGGAGGCCTGGCGTGCTGCGATTCATGGGGTCTCAAAGAGTCGGACACAACTGAGCGACTGAACTGAACTGATATTTTAATGGAGAAAGAATGGACTGTTCAATAAATGGTCATGAGATAGAAGAATAAAGTGTCACCTGCTTGTCACTGCAAATCTTAGCATTAAAAATCAAATGGCAGCACCCCTATGCTTTTCCTCAAGATTTTCCATGACTCTCTAACCATGTTACTGCAAAAATTATGTAAATGCATAGTGAGATGGTTCCAACATAAATCTATATCTTAAATACAAAAAATAGAAACACATGTCAGAGACACCATTATGCAGGGGCCAGTTAATTGAGGCCTTAAATGCATACTAAGATATTTGAACTTTATCCGGAGGACATTGGGAAACCTTGGGTAGGGATAGGGGTGGAGGCGGTTATTAAACAGGGAGAGGTCAGATTGTGGAGCTATATGGTTTTGTGCCAAGGTGAGAAGTTGTGATGGCAGCATAAATAGTGGGAAATGTGAGGATTTTCGAGTTTTAAGCTGTAAAATCAATATGGCTTAGTGAGTGATTACATGTGACAGCCACAGAAGAGAAGTATGGGAAGTTGATAAGGACAGAATTTCTGACAAATAATTGATGGCATCTGCTGAGATAAGGAACACTCTAGGAGGACTGTTTTGGGCATACTTATGTTAAAATAACTGGCCATGTTAAGTTAGTGGTATCTTAGAAGCATGCATCTGGTAGAACTTTGCAAGCATGCTGTATTTTTTATGTAAGTATAAAATTTAATGCATAAATTTATATGAGGTCTAATAAATATATAAACTTGTGAAATAGCAGCAAGTAAAAATGCAGAAATTAAGACATTGCATTTTTATTACCCAAATCACCACTATACTACAATGTTGCACAATTTTTTCTATTCATAAATGTACATATCTATTTTTTCTCTACTGACTGCAGTCATTTTGCATAAGCTGTTTTGTAGTTTACCCTTTTTTCAGCCATTGACTTCCACTTTTCCATTTCAGTGGACCTCTAACTTGCAGTGCATTTTACACAATAATACTCTTTACAGCTGGTTTGTATGTACAAATTTTCAAATTAGGTCCATATGTGGTATTAGTTAGACCATCCCTTTCTCCCCTGATTATGATGTTGACCTACTAGAGAGACCAGGCCAGGCCATTTTCCTGCAAAATCCCCTCCTTGGATTTACTTATGTGCTTTCCTGCTGTGTTGTTTAGCTCTCCTATTTCTTATAAACAGAAGTTTTACCTAAAAGATGGCTTGAGTTATATTTGAAACTAGGATGCATCTTGGGCTTCCTAGGTGGCACTAGTGGTAAAGAACCCGCTTGCAGTGCAGAACACTTCAGAAACACAGGTTCAGTCACTGGGTCTGGAAGATCGCCTGGAGGAGGGCGTAGCAACCCACTCCAGTGTTCTTGCCTGGAGAATCCCACTGACAGAAGAGCCTTGGCGGTCTACAGTTCATAGGGCCACAAAGAGTTGGACATGACTAAAGCAACTTAGCTCGCACGCAGGATTCATCTTAAGTAAGGTGATACAACATAAATTAATCTGCATCAGATGATGTATAATATCTGGTTGGCCCATCACTCTTCTTTTTTTCTGAATTGAAATTTTTGTTTTTTTAAACTTTTAATTTTGTATTGGGGGTGAGTGTGTTAGTCACATGGTTGTGTCCGACTCTTTCTGACCACATGGACGGTAGCTCCTCTGTCCTAGCCGATTAACAATGTTGTGATAGTTTGAAGTGAATAGCAAAGGGCTTCAGCCATACATTGCCCCATCACTCTTGATGCTGAGATTATTCCCTTGATTAAGGGCAATGGACAGCCAAAGCCTACTCTTGAAAGGCTTTCCACTAAGAAGTAATCTAGTGTGTTATTATTCTGGCATTATACAAATGCTGTTTCCTTTCAACCATTTACTTAGTGATGAGCTCAAATTAATAGTCCTTGCCTCACTCAATATTTTCATTAGAGGTTGCAAAATGACGTTTTTCAGGTTCTCTCATTCTTAGCTGGTCATCCTATATAGAGTTTTTCCTCATCAGCTGAGCTGTTTAGTTAACCTACAGTGCATTTCCGACTGAAAAGTTAGGGAAATGCCAGCTTCTTCCCTTTGCCAATTTTCACAGTAAAGAATTGTTTAAAAGGGCAATCTCAAATGGTAACAAATGAGAGTTTTTTCAGTCCTGTTTTTTAAGTAGTATTGTGGACTTAACAGAGTTTTCATTAATTCATTGTTTCAATCCTATATAATCCTTTGTTTTGTTTTGATTTTTCAAATTATCATGACTCTTGGCCACTTGTGGGCAGATTTTTAATCTGGATCAAGAGAGTCCTCAGTAGTGGTTCAAGTCACAGGAATGGGTAATATTGCCTGAGAAGAGTGTACAGGGTAAAAGCTAAGCAGCCCAGGTTAGTGACTTAAGTAGCTTCCATAATTTATAGGAATAATCTTTAATATATGAATTTGTGAGTTTTTTTCTTTGCAATTTTTCTTCAGTCTTTTATGCTATTTTCATGAAATAACTAAAAATTACCAATTAATGCTTTGGAAATTTTTAGTATTCTAATGGGATAATGAACTGCTACTTTTAATAACTTATTCCATCTGTAATCAATAACCACAGGCTGTTTTGAATCCTTCTAGTCACTCTTGGAGGCCCATGATATTGTGGCATCAAAGTGTTACGAGTCACCTCCATCAAGCCCGGAAATGAATAATTCTTCTGTCAATAATCAGTTATTACCAGTAGATGCCATTCGTATTCTTGGTATTCACAAAAGGGCTGGGGAACCACTGGTGAGTTGATCAGTCAGTGCCTTCTTAAATCTGAAATCTTACATACTTGTGACTGAGTCACTACTCTATCTCATTTTTTTTTCCATAATTTATATCATTATGAAAACTTTACTTGTGTTTGTTTTCATCAGTCTTTTTTGGCTTGTGTATAAAATACACAGGTGATACTCTCAACTTGATTTAGCATGCAGAATTAAACCAAAATTAAACTGAAATAGAGGAGAGAAGTTTGCCAATGAGTAGAAAACATTTCAGAGGATAACTATTTTTTTCCTATACCCTTTGAAGAAATGAACTGAGGTTGCTTGCTAATTATATATAGTAGCAAAATGCAGAAGAACGTTGTTATTAAAAATTGAAAACATTGGTAGGACCCGGTAAGTAATGTTTACAGTTTTGTGCGAACATGGCATTTCCAGGCTCTGACTATGAGAACAGTGAAGTGAGAGGAGAAGACACCAGGAACAAGGCCATCAGAATGCACAAATGCATTGCTTGCTCCTTTGAGCTTCCTCATAACTTGTACAGTGCAGCCTAAGATATGTTTAATTTTCAAGGTTAGTCTTGCCATGGAAGTCCCTTTTTTAAGGGATGGTGTATGTTGTCACAGTTGTACATGGTTTCATGAGATTGGAGTATTGAGTTACGAGTGAATGTGGGAAAAGTAGGAATGATTTACCCACTTATTTTTAGAATTGTTTTCTTATATATATATTCATGAATATTTATGATTTCTTCCTAACAACCTGAAATCAGTAATTCCATTCCTTATTTTCTTCAGGGTGTAACATTTAGGGTTGAAAATAATGATCTGGTAATCGCCCGAATCCTCCATGGAGGGATGATAGACCGTCAAGGTCTGCTTCATGTGGGAGATATCATTAAAGAAGTCAATGGCCATGAAGTTGGGAACAACCCAAAGGAATTACAAGAATTACTGAAAAATATTAGTGGAAGTGTCACCCTGAAAATTTTACCAAGCTATAGAGATACCATTATTCCTCAGCAGGTTAGTAATAAAATTCTTGCTAATACTTTTTTCCTTTAATCACACTGTTGGATATAACCACCAGTTGCTACTTTTTTGCTTAAGAGAAGAGAAAAAATGGTCTGGTTTAATTGTTCTAAAGTGCCTTATTTTGTCATGGGTGAATTCTTGGAATTTTTAAACAATGTTATCTTACTATTCAAAAGGAATTTACTTGAGAAACCTCTCTGTGAATACCATGAACCCTCTATTCAATTCAGTCATCAGTTGTACCATCTGATTCTTTGCTACCCCATGGACTGCAGCACGCCAGGCTTCCCTGTCTGTCACCAGCTCCTGGAGCTTGCTCAAACGCATGTCCCTCAAGTTGGTGATGCCATCTAACCATCTCATCCTCTGTCGCCCCCTTCTCCTCCTGCCCTCAGTCTTTCCCAGCATCAGGGTATTTTCCAATGAGTCAATTCTTCACATCAGGTGGCCAAAGTATTGGAGTTTCAGCTTCAGTATCAGTCCTTCCAGTGAATATTCAGGACTGATTTCCTTTAGGATGGACTGGTTGGATCTCCTTGCCGTCCAAAGAACTCTCAAGAGTCTTCTCCAACACCACAGTTCAAAAGCATCAATTCTTCGGCACTCAGCTTTCTTTATAGTCCAACTCTCATATCCATACATGACTACTGGAAAAACCATAGCTTTGACTAGATGGACCTTTGTTGGCAAAGTAATGTCTCCTTCTTAATATGCTGTCTAGGTTGGTCATAGCTTTTCTTCCAAGGAGCAAGCGTCTTTTAATTTCATGGCTGCAGTTACCATCTGCAGTAATTTTGGAGCCCCCCAAAATAAAGTCTCTCACTGTTTCCATTGTTTCCCCATCTATTTGTCATGAAGTGATGGGACAGGATGCCATGATCTTAGTTTTTCAAATGTTGAGTTTTAAGCCAACTTTTTGACTTAAACTCACCTTGTGCAATGATTTTTGGACCCTAGCATTTCAGTAACCTACAGCTGAACTTAAAGACTTTTTGTCATTAATTAGCAAACAGTTTTGACACATGTCATGTTCCAGGCCCTGTGAGGAAAATAAGCATGTAGTCCTGATCACCTCTAGCTTAGTGTTCTAGTGATGAAACAGAGAATGAAGCCAGAAAGAGAGAATGGGTCCAAATTGAAAAGAATCTTGAACACCTGGTTTGTACCATTTGCTCTATGTTTTGAACTGATTTTTAGGTAAAACAGATTATTAAGCATGGCAGTGTTTTAATGACAGTGGTCACTAACCTCATTATGTTGAGTGAATTTAAAAAAGGAGAGAGGTGAGATTGTTTAGCCAGGAAACCGATTTTTGAAAGTGTGAGGTAATTTGTGAAAGGCAGTTCTTATGAAAGGCTGTGATGACTGCTTTGTTTCAAATAACTGTGCCACCACCTACTAGCTTATTCTCTGTCTTCGTTTTCTCATCTGTATAGGTGAGTATTTCTTTTCTCAAAAGATTACTGTAAGGATCAAATAGGTTAATTCAGCAGCTCCTGTCACATCTGCATACCAGCCCATAGCTGCTGCTATTGTGATGATGGTAATGAGGTGGTGGTGTGATTCCAAAGAAATGGTAAAGAAAGAAAAAGTGATGAGATAATTGCAAAGGAACAGTTGACACTTATGATAAGCATGTTGAAACTTGAGAGGCTTTTCAAATCCAGATAATGTAGATATAGGAAATATTCATCAGTGTTTTAGATGCATTTAATTATTTAGGTTTTCAAGAAGTTTGTTCCAAGTATGAGTAAAACTGCAGGTCTTTTACATAAGATGCTGCCACTATACTTATTTTAATAGTGTTAATATGATCATTTAAAAGACTAGTATGTCTAGTTCTGTAAAAGTCTTTGAAATAACCTGTGTTGAATACCTGCTTTATATTGTTCTTTGGGGGAGTAAGAATAGCCAGTCATGAATTTTAGCATGTAAATTGGATTTCTGAAAATACACAGGCTTGTAGTGAACTTTCATTTAAATGAAGGATAGAGACCTTGTCTTTTCAAGGAAAAGACTGATAAGAGAAATGGCATTAGAAATTAGACATTTTAAATAGCTAATGTCCCTCAGACTATCTTTATTCCTCAGTTGGCACCTAAGTAGATTGGAAAAGTAGAACTTAAGATTTATTTATTTTTAAAAAATCATACATTATTTGTGATTGGGATGGGGAATACATGTAAATCCATGGGTGATTCATGTCAATGTATGACAAAACCCACTACAATATTGTAAAATAATTAGCCTCCAACTAATAAAAATAAATGAAGAAAAAAAAATTATACATTATTTGTGATAGTTAGACTTTTCTTTTTAACCCACTGTAGTTCAAACTTCAGGATTCCTGCCAGCTCACCATGACTATAATGGACTATTTTATTTTATAACGACTATTTTATGGAAAATTTTTTCTAATATCAATAGTGAGGGCTTTGGTTCAAATCCCTTTGTAGAATCTGCACCTGGTGAATGGTCTGAATGATGTGAAATGCAAGGATATTTAGCCCTGTCTTAGACATATATTTTTCTCCATCTTGTGCCTTCTCAAAATCTGCTTTTTATTTAGCCTTCAGAACTGGGAGAAGGCATTGAAATAGGGACGGTCTAACCTTCCATTCAAGCCTGAGCCGATCTCAGACCTGTCTTACCATAAAAAAAAGAAGGGACTAACATGAAGATTTCCAACAGAAGAGATAAAACACACCCAAACTGGGACATTTTTAAAGTGAAAGGGGGAATAATTACTAATTATACTGGAACAGGACTGTCCTGGGCACACTGTGCTCCTCTTATGAGAGACACTAATGGAAAGCAAGGGCTTTTAGCTTCTTCAGTTCTTTCGCTCTTTGACTAACTGGAAGCTCCACCAGCTCTATCTCTTAACTGCTGTGACAGCAGGTGGAAACCAGGAGGTCTTCATACCAGGGTTGTGTTTTTCAAAGCATGGTCAGTAGATCATCTTTATCAATATCATTTGAGGTGCTTATTAAAAATCCAAAATCTTTCATGAGACCAAAAAATCTATATTTTTAAATTTGAAGACCAGGAGGGGTTAGAAATTGCAGCTAATTCTGAAGTTCTCTAGCTTACGTGTATATAGGTTTCCAAAGACTGTTTAAAACTCCATTTCTTTATTTAAGGCAAAATTAATGGGAATTCTCTCTTTAAGGCCATTATGACCCACATAACAAAAATATTATGAGAAGTTTGTTTTATTTCATTCAAGGATGTATGTTAGAATTCTCAACAATGTATTAGCAAATGAAATTTAATGATATATAAAAAAGATAATGTGTCCAAGCTAGGATGGTTTCATGTTAGAAAGCTCATATATGTAACCAAACAAATTAACAGATTAAAGAAGAAAAATATGAGTAGAGAATTTGATAAAATTCAGTACCTATTCATGATTTTTTAAATAAGATTAGTAAATTGGGAACAGGAAAGAACCTCCTAAATCTTACTTTTTAAAAAAACTAAAACAAACATTATTCCCAATAGTTGACTGGTAGAAGCCATTTCTCTTTAAAAATCAGGAACAGAACTTTAAGCTGGTCTTCCTGAGATTGCTTGAGTGCCAAGCCCAGGGCCCCTGTGAAGTCCCACTTCCACTCCAAGATGGAGAAACCCACCATAAAGAGAAACTTGCCAAACTTCAGGCATACTTGTGCATTGGTAGAAAGGAACCACCCTCAGATGATATATCAAATATCTGTTATAGCAGATGATAAAAAAAATCTTCAGTTCTCTTTTAAAAAACTCGGAATAAACATTATCTCTGATTTTAAAGAGGTAAATATATTTGCAAGCCAGTAAGTAATGATTCATTTTAACAATCCTGATGCTCAGACATTTCTGGCAGCAGTTCATTACCAGCTGTGCTGAGACAAAGCTCCTGACAGATACGCCACCCGAATCTTAGACCAGCTTGGTGTCAACAGGCTTTCAGGATCCTGGCAGAAGCTGGGTGGGAAGCCCCACTTGCTACCGGGAAGGAAAGTGATCTTGTTCAGAATTTTGATGAGGCTTCCAACAGTGAGGCAAACAGAACTTCTTTTCTTAAAAAAAAGAAAGAAAAGAAACTTCAAGAATGTTGACTTCTAAAAAAATTTTATTTAGGATGTAGTTAAATATAGAAACCTGTAGTATTTTAAGTTCTGAGGTTCTTGGACACTGCTGTGTTTTAAATTTTTGTTTGTACACAACTATTTGTTTGCAGTTACAAGCCAAAGAAGCCAGAACTTAAAGTTTAAAACAAGGGTTAATAATGTCATTGCCTAGTTAAAAAAATTAAAACTAGAGAAGGATGTTCATTAGTACCATTTATGTTCATATTTTATGGAAAATTCCATAAGCACAAGAAGACAAATAATTATGAAAGCAGAAGATTTGGAAAGAAGAACATAAAACGTTATTTTCAGATAATATTTTTTTAACTGAAAGCCTCCCTGAACTGTAAATTACTAGAAATAATTTAGCAGAATGCTTTAAAATAAGATTAATATACAAAAGTCAGTTTCATTTCTATATGCCATCAGCAGACATCTATAAATGTAACTAAGACATCATTTATAATAGAGAATGTAACATTTATGTCTAGAAATAACCTAATAAAAATATTCACCTCCATGTGCAAAAAAATTAAGATCTAAATAGATATATCATGTTTATGTACAGGAAAACAGTAATATAAAGATATCAATTTTCCTTAAATTGACTTGTAGATTCAGTTAAATTCCAATGAAAATTTCAGTAAGATTTTTTTCATGGTATTTGGTAAGATGCATAGCTAAGACACTTGAGGCAGAAAAGCAGAAATAGGGGCTTATTATTAATGTGTAGGAATTAAGATATGTGGTATTGGCATAGGATTAGACAGAATGAGCAGTGGAAGAGAGCATTCAGAAAGAGATCTACACATATATGTTACTTTGATATCTCACAGAGCTGATATATCTTTCAGTGAGAAAAAGACTATTCAGTGAAAG